CATGGGTGGGATAATTCTTTTCATGTGGCTTCAATTGGCGAGAGGCGTATGCTATAACCCTATCTTTTTGCATTAATACACAACCCAGACCTTTATGCGAGGCATTACTGTAGACATGGAACCCTTCGTTACCTGATGGTAGTACAAGGATTGGTGCTGCGACTAACCTCGTCTTCAACTCCTGGAAGGCTACTTCTCTATCCTTAGTCCAATCGTAAACCACTCCCTTCTTAGTCAGTTGCGTCAACGGAATTGCAATCCTTGAGAAATCTTTTACGAATTTTCTGTAATAACTAGCCAATCCCAGAAAACTACGAACCTCGGACACATTAGTCGGCCTCGGCCAATTCACCACGGCTTCAATTTTACTAGGATCGACCGAAATACCCTCTTCATCAATTACATGACCCAAAAATGAAACAGTGGAAAGCCAAAACTCACACTTGTTGAATTTAGCATACAGTTTCCGATCCCTCAAGGTCTGCAAGGTAAGCATCAAATGCTCCTCGTGTTCGGCTTTACTCTTAGAGTAGATCAATATGTCATCGATGAAGACAACCACAAACTCATCTAGATATGGCTTAAAGACTCTATTCATGAAATCCATAAATGCTGCAGGGGCATTGGTCACTCCAAAAGGCATTACTAAAAACTCGTAGTGGCCATACCTTGTCCAAAAAGCGGTCTTCTCAACATCCTCGGCTTTGACCTTAAGCTAATGATAACCTGACCTAAGGTCAATTTTGGAAAAGACTCGTGCTCCTTGCAACTGGTCAAACAAATCGTCTATCCTCGGCAACGGGTACTTATTCTTAATGGTTACCTTATTCAGTTCCCGGTAATCAATACAAAGACGAAGTGTGCCATCCTTCTTCTTTACAAACATGACGGGTGCTCCCCAGAGTGAAGTGCTCGGCCTAATAAAACCTTTATCTAGCAACTCCTGTAGTTGAAGTTTCAATTCCTTAAGCTCGGCGGGGGCCATCCTATAGGGTGTTTTAGAGATGGGCTGGGTCCCCGACATGATGTCAACCGTAAACTCTACCTCTCTATCAACAAGGTGACCAGGCAAATCATTTGGAAAGATGTCGGGGAATTCATTGACTACTAGGACGTCGACTATCTCAATACCTCCATTCAAATTACTTATTATGCTACACAAATAACCTCGACACCCCTTTTGGATCAATCTATAGGCTTTCATGGATGAAATTAAGTATGGTGGGGACACTACCCCTTTTCCTTGAAACGTGACCTCGGCTAGGTTCAGGGGTTTTAACGTGACACTCTTTGAAACACAATTTATGTGCGATTCGTCACTAACCAATCCATTCCCAAAATAACATCGAAATGGATTGTGTCCAATGGCATTAAGTCGGCTAACAGTTCAACATTCCCAATCACAACAACACATGCTCGATAGATGGATGCAACATTCATAGATCTCCCAGATGGAGTGGATACAGATAATGCGTAATCAAGGGGTTCTAGTTTCCTATTAATCTTCTCGGCAAACTTAGCAGAAATGAATGAATGCGTAGAACCCGAATCAATCAATACATATGCACTTTGAGAGCAAATTGAAAGCATACCTGACACCACTGTCTCGGCAATTTGCGTGTCCCCTGGTACCAGTACAAAAACTCTGCCCTGTCTCATCGGTCCCTTCCCAGCGTTACCTTTCTGCACAGGGCCTGAAGTATTCTCATCTTTCTTACCTTCCCCAGCCTTCACTTTTGGACAGTCCCTCACAAAATGGCCTACTTCACCACATTCGTAACAAGCCCCAGACGCCCGACGATAGACCCTGAAATGTGGCTTCCCACAACTGGAACATATCGGCTTAGTACCACTCTCTTGCCTTGGGTTGCTTGAACTGCCGACGTTCGCTTTCTTCTTGGTACTAAACTGTGCACGGCGATTGTCATAGCTCTGCCTCTTCCTCTAGCTCTCTCCTAAACCCTGGTATCTGTTCAAGTTAGCTTCGGCCAGAATGGCTTTGTCCAACACTCCGGCATAAGTCGGCATGTTGAGCATGTTAACCCGATCTTGTATCGGTCCACGGAGCCCACTTTCGAACTTCCTAGCCTTCATATATTCATCATTGACCATTTGGGGTGCGTACCCTGCCAACTCTGTAAAGGCACGGTCATATTCAGCTACTGTTCTATTGCCTTGTGTAAGAGTCTGAAATTCGGTAGCCTTGCGATTCCGAACACTTAAGGGAAAATGCTTGGTGTAGAACAATTCTAAAAATCGGGTCCAGGTCAAGTCTGGATTGCTTTCTCGAACCATCATCCACCATCTGCGGGCGTCGTCATCTAGTGTAAAAGCTGCTAACGTCACCTTCTAGGTGTTAGTGCTGGGAAAGATCTCGAACAGCTTTTCCATCTCCAAAACCCAGGCTTCGGCTTTCATCGGCTCTATGCCCCCTTGAAATCTCGGCGGTTTCATTTTCTTAAACTCTCTAATCAGAGCTATCATGCCGTCCCCATATAAAGCTGGCTGTGGGGGCACTTGAGGTACTGGAGGGGGTGGAGGTGGAACTGCATTCTGGCCGTTCGTCTGCTCGACCTGAGTCGATGTAGCACTAGCGTACTGCTGTCTTGTCTGCCTTAATTCGCGGGCCAAACCTTCAACCAGCCTTTCCAGCCTGTCTATTCTGTCCTCCGACTGATCTCGGCCAACTGGAGGTCTTCCTCTCCTCATGATGCTATGAGTAAGCAAAATGTGGCTTTAAAACAAAATGAGCAAGTAATCACATAGGCAAGTAACAGTTAAGCATGCCTAGACAATGCACACCTTGTTCACATAGCAAGCAATATGATGCAATTCTAACTTCCTTCTAAGGGGAAATCCTATGCTCTTTAGGACTCAAAGTGTGTGAATAACGTATACCAAGGAACTTGTGCTCTGATACCATTCTGTCACGACCCCAAACCGCCCCTAGTAGTTTGGTGCCGTGATGGCCAGTAATCCGAGATTACCGAAGACCAGCTTTCGAAATTGACTCACAATCAGAGTATAAATATGTGGGGCTCACAAGTGCGGAAGCAATAATCTAAAATACAAGTGGTCCATAAGAGCAGTGTATAAGTCACATGAGATAGTAACCACTCACATATGGGTTATAACTTAATAACAAACAAGCAAAGTGCAAGTTACATTTTTCGTATTAGCAAAGGGCTCCACAAGCCGGCATAAACAAATTGTAGAAATTACAGATTTAAGTACACAGTTCGCCAGGTTGTCGACATCTTCTTTGCCGACATAACAATCACACAAAA